TGTGTGTGTGTGTGTGTGTGTATACACACACACAGTGTCCATAAAGATTGACAACTATTTTAAATTGCACACAAAGTTTATGGACACCCTGTATTTTTGGTGTTTTTTTGCAAAAATGCAAAAAGCAAATAAATGAACAATAGATGAAATGTTTTTCTAGCCAATTTTTGTCAACTAGTGTAAGGAATTTTTCTTTACATTTTTATTTTGAAATAATTTGATTCCCAGAAAGTTGCAAAGGTAGTGCAGAGAGGACCCAGGCACTCCCCACTCGGAGTCCTCTAGTGGTACATGTTGCGTAATCATAACAGCACAATATCAGAACCAGGCATTTGACATTAGCACGATGTACCTACAGTCATTTTATCAGATGTGTGAATTCCTCTAACCACCACTGCAGTCGAGATACAGAATTGTCCCATCGCCACACAGAGCTCCTTTGTGCTAATTACCCACTTCCCTCCCCAGACCTAGCCCCTAGCAACCACAAGGAAGCTTTTTATAGCTCACATACCAATGTAGCCAACAGTGATAATTCATCACTTCTCTACTAGAAAAACATAGTTTCAAGAATGGGTAAAATATAATAATACTTCAATACATTTATTGAACATCTAACATCGGTTAGGTATTGTACTAAAATCTGGATTATCTCTGGATTTTTTTCACTTAATCCATACAGATATCTGGTATAATTAGTCTTCTGTTTCCCTAATGAGGAGGTAGAAGCTAGCAGAGGTTAAGTGACTTGCCCCGGCTCACTCATCTTGTAAGTGGCAGAGTCAGAACTGAACCCAGAGCCTTGAACTCCGGGTATTGTGATCTCAACCACTGCCCCATACTTCCTGTTAAAAATGCTTTTCAGTTTAGAAAACTGCCTTTTGTGTGTATTTAAGATTGCATTTCTGTTGTTGAGCTCATGATTACAATAAGCAATCACTATTCCTCATTCACTTTTCATTCCAGATAGCAGTATTTGTGGGTGTTCTGTCATTCAGTGTTGCAGTCCTGAACAAAGTGGAAATTGGATTGGATCAGTATCTTTCCATGCCAGACGTAAGATGCTTTTTAAACTCTAAACTTACTTGCTGTTGATGAATACAGTTCTCAAAGCGTGAGTGCAGGTGTTTCAAGCTAACGCCTGCTCCTGAGCACAAATGGTGACAGGTTCTCTGATGTCATGGGAACTGCCCCACAACTCTGCCGATGTGGGCCACCTTGGCGTTCTGGATGCTCAGACCTGTGGGGCACAGCCACAGACATGCGCAGCCAATCTCATGAGGGGCCCTCCTGACTGTGGGACTAGCAGAAGCACCCTGGGGCCTGGGGAAGACTGACTGTGTCGGGAGCCAGAGTCTAGGCTGGGGGCATCTCGGCCAGGAGCCTCGCACACCCTGTGAGCTCTTAGTGACCCCCCTCTTGCTTATTTACTGTCAGAGGGGTCACACTTCCTCCTGCTCTTTGTCTTTCAGGACTCGTATGTGGTGGATTACTTCAAATCCATCAGTCAGTACCTGCACGCAGGGCCGCCGGTGTACTTTGTTCTGGAGGAAGGACACAACTACACTTCTCTGCAGGGGCAGAACATGGTGTGCGGTGGCATGGGCTGCAACAACGACTCCCTGGTGCAGCAGATATTTAACGCGGCTCAGCTGGACAACTAGTCAGTACCACCTCATCGTCTGGAACTTCAGCAGAAGCAGCTAGAGGGGCTCTCACCCAGGGAGTCAGATTGGGCCTGAAAACAGATATTCTTGGAAAAGTTACTTTTGCTCAATTTTATTTTTTTTTCTTTTTTGAGACAAGAGTCTTAACTCTGTCACCCTAGGTAGAGTGCTATGGTGTCACAGCTCACAGCAACCTCAAACTCATGGGTTTGAACAATCTTCTTGTCTCAGCCTCCCAAGTAGCTGGACCTACTAGCTGGCTAGTTTTCTCTGTTTTTAGTAGAAACAGAGTCTCACTCTTGCTCAGGCCGGTCTCAAACTCCTGAGCTCAGACAGTCCACGCATATCGGCCTCCCAAAGGGCTGGTGTTACTGGCATGAGCCACCACACCAGGTCTATTCAAAATGTTTGTTAAATCTAGCTTTATGTGAGCAAAACCCTTTAAAGGACTAATTTACCACCTAATACTTTGAAGGCTTTATTCATAAGTGCTAGTGTAGTTTTTCTTTGGGCTGGTAGCAATGCAAAAATGTAGAAAAGGAAGTTAGGTTTCATGGGAAAGTGCTGAATCTAAAGGCTTCCTCCCCGTGGAGCAAGTCAGTAATTCTTTTTCTTTCCCTCTCTAGTACCCGAATAGGCTTTGCTCCCTCGTCCTGGATCGACGATTATTTTGACTGGGTCAAGCCGCAGTCGTCTTGCTGTAGAGTCTACAACACCACGGAGCAGTTCTGCAACGCGTCAGGTGTTTCATCTCCTGTCCAGATCTTTACTTTTTAATGACTTTGCATTTTGTAATTTGTACCTATTCCTGTGCCTTTGTCATTGTCCTTTTCCTCAGTCATTCACTCTGAGACATGTCACATGTTCCCGTTGGCCCCATTCAGGGCTGCAGTCTGAACAAGGTCCATGTCCAAGGACTCTGTTTCTCATCCTGTTGTGCCTCTCAGGAAATCCACTGGAGAAAAGAAAGTGTTGTCTAGTCTGCCTTAAGATGAAAACAGTATTTCCAGTTTTCTAAATTATGAAAGTTACATGTAGCTGAAGCTCTTGGATAAGGGTAAAGATTCAGGAAAGCAATTGCCCTCATTATCAGCATTCTGAAATGTTTTCCAAAAATTGTACTGGTACTCAGATTAGATTGTTTGAAAAAAAAAAAGAAAAAGTAAAAAAACTTGTAGGAACCCATTCTTCTAACAATTGCCCCTCTCTCTGTGTTTCTGCTAGTGGTTGACCCTGCCTGCGTCCGCTGCAGGCCTCTAACTCCAGAGGGCAAACAGAGGCCTCAGGGTGAAGACTTCATGAGATTCCTACCCATGTTCCTCGCTGATAACCCCAACCCCAAGTGTGGCAAAGGGTAAGTGTTGGTTAGCCCTTTCAGATAAGCATCCCCTTCACATTTAATTCGTAGTAGAAAACTAGGAGAGGACTGGGGTGAAGACACTTGTGTGAGAAAGCCGTTTAGTGAAGGCAGAGTGAAGAAACGCCTGCAGGTTCCCCCTGACTCCCGCTTAGGCTGGGCTTTGTTCCCTGTCCTTCTCTTGTCCTGCCCCGGATGTAGTAGATGCAGACACCCGTGCACATCACCGGGGAGCTGAGGGAGAGGACAGACATGCTGGTGACTGGGAACGTGAGAGACCTTTGGTCTCTTCACCTGTGCGAGGGTGCAGGGCACAGCACCTTTGCTTTGCTGTGAAGCAGGTCTCCATTCTCCTTGGCAGCCTGTCCATAACTGAGGTGATGGGTTGTCTCACTCCCCCATCCAGGCAGGCACCAGTACCCACAGAAACAAACATCTGGCCCAGAAATAGTGAAGATGACTAGAAGTTTCTGGAGGTTGATTTGGAAGCTCTCATAGGTAGAAAATGAGTATCCAGCTTACGCTTACGTTAGGAAAATGCTGGACATAACTGTTTTTCTTTTTTTTTTTTTCTTTTTTTAAGAGACCGAGTTTCACTTTATTGCCTTCAGTAGAGTGCCATGGTGTCACAGCTCATAACAACCTCCAACTCCTGGGCTTAGATGATTCTCTTGCCTCAGCCCACAACACCTGGCTATTTTTGTTGTTGTTGCAGTTTGGCCAGGGCTGGGTTCGAACCTGCTACCCTTGGTACATGGGGCTGGTGCCCTACCCACTGAGCCATGGGCACCACTCTGGACATACTGTTTTTTATAATACAAATGAGTCAGTTATACCAGTTAATCATGTACATTGTGTCTGTGTTTGGGGATCTATACTAGGTACAATGGGCCACCTACCTCTAAAAATACAGTAAAAATGAGCCTTATAGCTCAGTCTGCCTGCAGACTAAATGCTTTGACTTACATAAAACAATTTGAAGTGGATTCGTTTTCATGAAGGTGATAACCACCATCTCGGGGAGCCTCCCATGTATGCCAGGGACCTCACTGACACCATCTCTTTGATCGCAGCCTGTGAGTAGGTGGTGGTGTACACATTTGCAGGAGGAGGAGATGAAGCTCAGATTAGGTAACTTTGGTCGGGGCTACAGGGCTGCATCTGACTCCAGGGCCCTTGCCCCTTCCTGCCTCCTGTTACACAACAGGACTGAGTAAACTCTATAAACTTGACCACAAGCCAACCCAGATAGAGAAACAACAGCAGCCATGTACCACAGAACCCCATGCAACTAAGGAAAGCCAGTCCGGGAGAGAATAAGCTAAACCTCCACGTTCCTTTATCAAGAGGCCTTCATCATCCCTGCAGTGTACTCTGGCCCTGACCTCTGTGATTCTCTTAGCCTTGTATGCTCAGATTCCACCAGTATTTGGCAAGGCATGGCCTTTCTGACACCCACTGCCTCTTTCAGGGGACATGCTGCTTATAGTTCAGCAGTTAACATCCTCAGCAATGACACTGGGGTTGGAGCCACATATTTCATGACCTACCACACCGTGCTTCAGACCTCTGCTGACTTTATTGATGCAATGAAAAAAGCCCGACTTATAGCCAGTAATATCACCGAAACCATGGGCATCAACGGCAGTGGTTACCGTGTGTTCCCGTACAGGTAACGCTTGGACTTTATAAACCAGGGTTTCCAGGGAAGGGCCTACACCTGGGGGCTCCCCTGTGCGTGCTGATCCTCAGCTTTGGTTCTGACACCTGCTCGTCCTGAGCACACATGAACTATATCAAGGGAAATGGCACAGAGGGGTGAGGATTTTTCTTTTTTTGAGACAGTCTCTCACTACGTCACCCTGGGTAGAGCGCCATGGCGTCACAGCTCACAGCAACCTCAAACTCTTGGGCTTAAGTGATTCTCTTGCCTCAGCCTCCCAAGGAGCTGGGACTACAGGCACCCACCATAACGCCCGGCTATTTTTTGTTGCAGTTGTCATTGTTTAGCTGGCCCCAGGCTGGGCTCAAACCTGCCAGCGTCGTTGCATGTGGCTGGTGCCATAACCACTGTGCTATGGGGGCCGAGCCCGGTGGGTGAGGATTTTTGAGCCCTTGCCAAGGTTGAAGGGTCGAAGACATAGAACTTGGCATCTGTGCTACCTTATGGTCTGCAGGAGACCACTTTAAATTAGCACCAGGGCAGGCAGAGAGCAGGCTGCATGAACAGGGGCCGGGTGACGTTCTTGGCCAGCAGCTGTCTATATACCCAGCTGCTGATTATGTGGGATGGTGCTTTTATGTAAACTTTTTCATATGGGACTTTTTCATCTTGGCAAGAAAAGTATTACAAGTGAAATACCAACTTTGGAAACTATGGAAAGGTAGAAGAAACAAGTGATTTCTTTAGTTTTTTCTCCCCCACCATGATCTCGGTTAAGGAAAGACAGCCTGTTTTTCTTTAGACATTCTCAAAGTAGAATGCTACTAATGCCCAGGAAGAGCTGGCTAACTTTGACAAAAAATAAATAAAAGGCATTTTCTCCTCAGGCCATGTGCAGACATAGTTCTTGGGATAATTCAGCATTTTTTTCCCCCAAAATGCTATGGAATGTCTGTAAATGTCTATAAAAAATAGCACAGGTTGGACTTAACAAAAATCTTAAAGCATACAATTTGAGTCATTATTAGGCCTCCCTCTGGGTAGTAAGTGACCACCAGATAGCTGGTGGAATTACATTAGATGAGTCTTGCAAGCAGCTCAGAGGTTTTCAGCAAGGGTGGCTATCAGGGTGGTCACAGCTTTACAGGATCAGCCAGATGAATGCGGCCCCCAGAAGTGAACAAGCTGTAACGGGTCTCCCCCCTCCTCTCCAGTGTGTTTTATGTCTTCTACGAACAGTACCTGACGATCATTGACGACACGATCTTCAACCTCGGCGTGTCCCTGGGAGCAGTATTTCTGGTGGCCGTGGTTCTCCTGGGCTGCGAGCTGTGGTCTGCGGTCCTCATGTGTGCCACCATCGCCATGGTCTTGGTCAACATGTTTGGAGTTATGTGGCTCTGGGGCATCAGTCTGAACGCTGTGTCTTTGGTCAACCTGGTGATGGTGAGTCCTTATCCACTCTCAAGTTGTCACCTAAGTGAATTGTTTCTTGGGCTCCACACAAACCCTAAAATGGGAGCCAAATACCAAGTCTGGCTCTTGCTCTTGGAGTCCATGGAGATGGGGGACAAGCGCTAGGTAGAGTCAGGATGGGACATGGAGGAAGGCATTAAGAGGGACTTCTGGGAGCAGAAGCACATTGAGTAATTTCAGTTCAGTTTCTTTTCTCTTGTCCCTTATAGCTGTGCTGGTATCGTTCAGGTGGCATGGGAGTGAGGCCTGTAATAATGGAAATAGGATTTTGTGGCCTAGCTTGGGTGTTCTGTAATTTCTTATTCTGAAGGGACTGCAAAAGCTTGTAGCCTCATGTCAGCAAGCTATTTATTTTTTTATGTAGAAAATTGTAAGTCCCCCACCCTTGGGGCTTTTGTGAGGTTCCCAGGTGATTCTGCATAGTCTGGAAGGTATGAGCAGCCAGACAGTATTCATGGAAAATTAGAGACAGTGCTGTCCTTTCATATGTGAACCCTGCTTCAGGGGCTGGACAGTGAGGTCCCAAGTAAAGTTCCTGATACAACGTAGGGGCCTCATATTCTAAGTCAAAGGAGCTCGGGGCTTGTCTAGCTCCAGGGTGCCCTGGTAACCACTCTTCCTGGAGAGGGGTGGCTGCTTAGGATTTCCAGCAGGAAGAGAAACCTCAAGGCAGCACTTTATTTCAGAGCTGTGGCATCTCCGTGGAGTTCTGCAGCCACATCACCAGAGCGTTCACAGTGAGCACGAAAGGAAGCCGTGTGGCCCGCGCAGAAGAGGCGCTCGCCCACATGGGCAGCTCTGTGAGTACCCTGAGAGGGGCCTGGTAGAATCGGACGTGGAGTCCCTGCTCAGTGACGCAGACTTCCCAGCCTTCTGCACAGCGATTACAGCTTGCAGGCGATTCCTGAAATTGCCCTGTTTGTGTAGAACCTGCCTATTGCTGTGACTACTTTTTAGGTGGCAGTATTTTCCTGGAAGCAGGAAAATCACACAGAAGTTAAGACTTGAGAGAGCTGGAGGTTTTTTCCCGTTCGGAATATGGCCAGTGCAGTTTGTCAGAAAGCAAGGAAGCCCCCAGTTCTGGAACCCGGGGTGCAATCTGTGGTCATTCCTGGAGAGTCTTCTTGGGATCAGCTCTACATTCTGCTTGGGCCTGTCAGTTACTTTACCACTACTGAAAGGCCTGAAAGTGAAAACTGAACCTTTGTTTTATAACAGTTTTAGATAATGTTACTTCAGTTTAGAGACAATACTGTTTCTGCAAAATACCCAGCTTTTATACTCTTATAATACTTCCCCTACCCCTATAAAGTGACAGATAAAAGTTTGGGATGGAATATAGTGCTACTTCTCAGGCACTCTACAAGCTGGGGTTCAGTGCCGTTTAGACCAGTGATTTCAACTGGTGTGCCTCAAGAAGATCTTAGGTGTGCCTCAGAGCTTTTATTTTTTTTTTTTTGGAGACAGTCTTACTATGTCACCCTAGGTAGAGTGCAGTTGCCCACAGCAACCTCCAACTCTTGGGCTTAAGCGATTCTCTTGCCTCAGCCTCCCAGGTAGCTGGGACCACCGGTGCCCGGCACAACGCCCAGCTATTTTGTTATTGTTGCAGTTGTTCAGCTGGCCTGGGCCAGATTCAAACCCGCCACCCTCAGTGTATGTGGCTGGCGCCATAACCACTGTGCTATGGGCACCAAGCCTCAGAGCTTTTAAAGATCAATTAAGTGTTTTTGAAAGAAGTTCAAAGCATAGTTAAGTATACTTTAACTTTTTTATTTTTGATAAATATAATTTAAGTGTGCTGTGGAAGTTTACCTATAGGTTCAAGTGCACCATAAGATAGAAAAGAGGTTGAAAAACACTTTAGACCTCGAATATTAAGAAAGCCCTGTATGAGGAAGTATTTGACTATAATAGGCTGATAAAAGTGGCTTCTAACACTGTATCTCCTCTTTTAGGTCTTCAGTGGAATCACACTTACTAAGTTTGGAGGGATTGTGGTGTTGGCCTTTGCCAAATCTCAAATTTTCCAGATATTTTACTTTAGGATGTATTTAGCAATGGTGTTACTGGGAGCCACCCACGGATTAGTGTTTCTTCCCGTCTTGCTCAGTTACATAGGTAAGTTCTACCTGGGAAGCAGCGGGAGGCTGCAGGAAAATCACTCCAGGAGGCAGTCCTGTCAAGTGTCTGCTCGTGCTACTGGCCTACGTGACGAATGATACTGAGGAAAGTATTTCTAAGAGGAAGAATCCTATTCAGGACCTTCATGATCCTTGGAACAACTTCATGAGTAAACTGCTACCATTTTTTCTGGAGGCTGATGGGCCTGCTTCACAAAGGCCTGAAGTCAGCCCTGGGATGGAGCTGAGCGGCAGCAGGCCTGGTGCTCCCCCTGCTGCTGAGGGAGGAGGGAGCACATGGGCAGTCAGGCCACAGGCCAGCTGTGATGGGGGACAGTTTGCTGTTTTCCTCCATGTGTTTTTTTTTTTTTTT